GGTGCAGGACAGAGGGCCTGACAAGGAGGGACAGCTGTCTAGTCGTTTGGATGGTACGAATGACCGAGGTCCTGTGCACACATTGGTGTGCACGTGAAAGATCCCTTGGCAGTTTGAATTCGATATAAGAGTAGGCTTTAGCGCCGCTGTCTGGATAAAATTCCATAATAGGACACTGTATAGCATATTTCCATGTCATTAGCCCTGTCGGAATAGGACATTAAACCCCATTTCATTTCACTCATTCCAAAGTTAACTCCTATTCCATCAATACCTTGAGCAAATAAGATAGAGGCTATAGGTTTTGGCCCAATTTGGTCAATATCCCAGTTTTTTCTTTCTTATATGCATATCAACACTTTCATAGCGCTAATGTAGACCTTTTTCTTGAACATTTTCCCTTGTCAGTGATGCCGGACAGAGGACCTGACATGGATGGCTGACTAGTCATACGGAAGGGACCAAAAAAACAAGGTACAGTGTAAACTCAAGTGTGTGTGTGTGAAAGATCCCTTGGCAGTTGGAATTTTATATAAGAGTACGCCATAGCTCTGCACACTGTGTGGCATATGCCCGTCTTCATTTCTCAAACAGCTGTGGATAAAAACTGTTAATATTTAAATGTGTATTTTGTATTTTATAACATTATATTTTTGTCTTTTAAATAAAGTATATGTATACATACTTGTAGTATATTTTGTCATATTATTCTGCTAGATTTTTAACTTTTCTGTGCAATACATTTAGAATTCTGACTGGTTATGGGTAGATAGAGAGCAATGGGGTAAAACATCCAATAAACTGTCCTTTGGGACTAAGTGATTCAATTCAAGTTGAATAATTCATCCGCACCAGGAATCTTTAGTAGTAGGAGGACCCAGAGAAAACCCATGTTCAAGTTGGGTGTGGAAACAAACCACTTGACTCAATGACAGACCTTATGATCTAAAGCGCACACGTTGGACCACTCAACTTTTAGCCTCACCCACGGGTCAGGAAAATTTGATTATTGATTGAATGTACTTCCCATTTACTGCCGCAAATAATGAATAATTTTGAAGGTTTTAATGGTTGGTTATATTTTCGTAACTTTGGTCATCAAAATTTGACATTAGAATTGCATCCGTAAATGATGTTAATTTAATGTTAGATTTACGTTATAATGGTCGGTTAGATATCCATCATTTTGCTCATCCTTTTAACGACAATTTAACGTCAGGAAATGACGTTAATCTAGCGTAAAGTTTACGTCATTTTTACGTTATATTTACCTCATTTACCTCATTTTCTGACGTAAATCTAACGTAAAGTTTACGTCATTTTCTGACGTAAATCTAACGAAAATGACATAAACTTTACGCAAATTTTACGTTAGATTTACGTCAGAAAATGACGTAAAGTTTACGTTAGATTTACGTCAGAAAATGACGTAAATATAACGTAAAAATGACGTAAAGTTTACGTTAGATTAACGTCATTTCCTGACGTAAAATTATCGTTAAAAAGATGAGCAAAATGATGGTAAACTGACTGACCATTTTTACGTAAATGTAACGTAAAATTAACATCATATTGTTATGTGGGGGGGTTTAATGTCCCGGTCTAGCTAACAGTCTGCCCAGATGTGTTGCCTTGTCAACTGTTGGAATGGAAAACCAATGGCGTGTACACATTGGGTTGCACGTACAAAAAACCTTGGCAAAAAGAATGGGCGTAAAGCGACTCCGTTTATGCAGTAGAGTGTTAGATCGAAGACGGTCTAACACAAATGACGCCATATGTGCATTGAGGGTTAGGGTAAGGTTTAGGATTAGGGTTAGGGCCACGGTGGCTAGTTGGTTAAGACGCTGGCTCGCTAGCCTGGAGGTCGGGTGTTCGATCCCTGCATTGGCCGAGAAAGTTCACCCTGATTTTCCGACGTGGTTCCCCTTGTCAGTGGTGCAGAACCGAGGGCCTGACAAGGACAGCTGTCTAGTCCTTCGGATGAGACGGAAAACCGAGGTCCCGTGTATACATTGGCGTGCACGTAAAAGATCCCTTGGCAGTTGGAATTCGATATAAGAGTAGGCGATGGTGCCGCTGCCCGGGCAAAATTTCCCTCATAGCACACTGTATGGCTTATGCCCGTCTTCATTAGCCCAGTATAGGAGCAGAACAGTAGGACGTTAAACCCTATTTCATTTCATTTCGTTAGGTCACGTGATTGTTAGACGAAATCTGCCTTAATATTTAGACCTAACTGGTAAGGACAATATAATATATTATAGCCAACGTCATAGTGGGACGAGGGTAAAGACGAGATGTAGCTAGCATCGTACTGGGACGAAGGTAAAGACAGTATAACTAGGGTAAAGACAAGATGTAGCTAACGTCGTAGTTGAAAGAGGGTTAGGACAATATATATAGCTAACGTTGTAGAAGAACGAGGGTAGGGACAATATATAGCTAACGTCGTAGTAGAATGAGGGTAGGGACAATATATATACTATTCCAAAAAAGTAGGGGATATTTGATTTTGGGGGCATAATACTAAAATATGCAAATGACTACGAAAAAAGTCACTATAGAGCCTAACAGAAGAAACATTTCCAGTTACATGTGACGCCCAAACGCACCAATAGCTACCGCATGGAATGCAGGTGATGCTTGGGATCATCATGGGGGTCCAACCCAAGATTTGCACGACTCTGACTTTGAATGTTACAGTCATTGTGGCATTGAATTCCAGGGTGGAAACATCAGTTTAATTGTTTTAGTGACCAGAAAACAAATTTTGATATTCGTCAGCTTACCCAAAATGAAAGGTTACGTGCCCTTGGCATGCTACAGATCGGCACAACACAGGCGGTTGTGGCGCGGACGATGAATGTTTCTCAGTCTGTCATAAGCAGGCTATGGTCCAGATACCGTGATACACAATCTGTACAGGACAGACCACGCTCAGGTCGACCAAGGGCGACAACTCAAGCCCAGGATCGATTTATCCGTACCTTGGCCTTGAGAAATCGTGTCATCACAGCAAATCAGATCAGCGCTCGTCTTCAAACAGACACTGGTGTGAGAGTGAGTGGCCAGACGATTCGGAATCGACTGCATAGGGGTCACCTTCGCGCCCGACGTCCTCGCGTGATCCCTTGTTTGAGAGATCATCACATTCAGGCAAGACGTCGTTGGTGTAGGGATCGTCAACACTGGGATAATCGACGCTGGAGCAATGTGATGTTTTCAGATGAGTCAAGGTTCACTGTTGATTTTTTTGGACAGACGTATAGGAGGGTGTGGCGTCGTCGAAACGAGCGCTTCCAAGACGTTAACGTCATCAGACATGATCGATTTGGGGGTGGTTCTGTTATGGTGTGGGGAGGCATCACTGTTGCTGGAAGAACGGCTTTACATGTTGTTGCAGGGCGTGTTACAGGCCAGAACTACCGGGACAACATCTTGGCAGTCCATGTTGTGCCGTTCGCACGACGTCATGGCCGCCGTTTCATATTCCAGGATGACAACGCAAGATGTCACAGGGCCAGGATCGTTACAGGTTACCTCCAACAACAGAACATCACCACATTACCTTGGCCAGCACTGAGTCCCGACCTCTCCCCCATCGAGCATGTCTGGGACATGCTTGGACAGAGGTTACGTCAACGTCAACAACGTCCTGCCAATGTCCAAGAACTTGCTGCTGCGTTGCAACAGGAATGGGACAATCTGGACCAAAATGACCTTAGACGGATCATTAGGAGTATGCCACGTCGGATCAATGCTTGTTTGGCAAACAGAGGAGGATTTACCCGTTACTGACTTGGTTGTGATGCTGTGGTAACTTTGCTGTTTGACCCCGGGTATCATTTTTCCCTTATAATGGTCAGTCTGTGCCTTACTTAGTCTAACGATCATTTGGAATAAATCGATGAATGTGAACTTCATTTCATTTTGTCATTTGTTTCTTCGTCAGTTTCATTAGGTGACTTTAATAACACTTAAAAATCAAATATCCCCTACTTTTTTTGAATAGTATATAGCTAATGTTTTAGAAGACGAGGGTGTGGAGAATATATAGCTAATGTTGTAGGAGATCGAGGGTAAGGATAATATATAGCTAATGTTTTAGTAGAACGAGAGCAAGGACAACATATAGCTAATGTTTTATTAGAACGAGGGTAAGGGCAATATACAGCTAACGCCTTGGTAGAACGAGTGTAAAGACAATATGTAGCTAACGCCGTAGTGAAACCAGGACAAGGGCAAGCTATAGCTAACGTAATGGCTAATTAAAATAATAACATAGTGGTCTTTTTCCTATCTTCAATTGTTATGTATATATTAAGACATTTATTCATATAACAAGAACATTAGCCACTTTCTAGGTCATCGGGTGTCTATGGTATTAAAAGAATTAGAAAATATCTGCCATATCTTCGTTAAAAGTTAAACTTGAAACCCAAGACTACTTTTATCATTGGTAAGCCTACTTGACAACCGAGACTATTTACGCTAAAAAAATTTTTTATCAAATCATATCATTTATCAATCTGAGTAAAATACAGGTGTATATTTCGTTTCGTTTTTTTATACTTTCGATGGCCTAAACTACACGAAGATCTGACAAGTTTTAGCGATAGGTCACGTCAGGGGGTCAAAAGACCTATGACGTCAGACATTTGATGAACCAATCAGCATTGATGTTACTAGTGGATTACCCACAGTTCCGGGCAAAAAAGGTCAAACACTCGATTCGACAGGCATTTGATTGGCTGACACATCATTTCAAGCAGAACACGAGTTAAATAAAAAGTCTTCCAGATCCAAGTGTAGTAAAGACAAGTAAAACGAAATTTTGAACTATAAAAACGAAACGAAATAGGATCTGTGTTTTAACCAGATTGATCATTTATAAAATATGATAATTAGATTGAAAGAAACAAAACCATAACGTATAGCATCAGATTGGTTTATTTCTTTTTAGGAAAACAAGTAAATCCTTTATATGGAACCTATCTTTATAAACGGGCTCTTTTGTATTGAAGGTGTCGGATAGTTCTTCCACTTCGTCTTTGTAGAGGGCGGAGGTTACCATGGTCACCGAGTTCTGTTTTCCTGATTCTGGTTTCCATCTTATAAAGTAAATCTAACTGTGAAATAAAAATATAAGAAATATATCTTACTAAAGAATGATTCACACAATAAACTTAGATAACTAAATACTTTTTTTTAAAAATTTATAGAAAACTGTGTCCCTTAGCAGGGGCGGATTGGGGCCGGGAACCGGCCTGGGCTGCCGTGTCGGAGCGGCCCCTTTTACTGACCGCGGAGCCCGGATGGAGGGGGCGGCGGGGGATCTCCCCAATGAAAAATTTGAAAAATGAACCCCAAATATGCGATTTGGTGGCATATTTGATTATAATCTCTGTCAAATAATATATCTCATAGTCGATTAATTTAGGCCAAAACCCCGACCTGCAAGTAATTTACAACCATCAACCTGTGAAATTATCATATTATTAATTATCATTGTATCGTCAAGACCAGCTATCATCAAATTTGGCTGAGGCCTTAAAATTGAATTTTGTTTTTGAGTTACGAACCATCGGCAGACGTTTCTGGCGACAGCGTCGGGTGAATCCGATGAAATTTTCGGATGAAATTCGGAATCCCCATTGCAGGATTCCGAATTCCGGCCCACACCCTGCACACCCGGCCCAGAAAGTCTATTATACCAGCCCATTCCAGACTCCAGCGATGGCGTGGCTACCCGTTAAAGCCACCGGCCACATACAACATGATCATCGTCGCTCCATGGCCGGTCCAATACCCCCCCCCCCCCATATAATGTTCAGCAGAAAAGGTTTTTTTTAGACGAATTAGACAAACAAATTTTTTTTCATTTTTTGTCCGACCGGCCCTTCGGGCCAATCCGCCCCTGTCCCTTAGGCAGTAATTCAAAAATTAAAACGAAAAAATGCGTTCTTTAGGCAGTGATTCAAATATTAAAACACAAAATGTGTTCTTTAGGAAGTAATTCAAACATTGAAACGAAAAATGTGTTCTTTAGGCAGTAATTCAAACATTCAAACGAAAAATATTTTTAAATGGTAATTTAGACATTGAAACATAAAATAATGCGTCCTTTAGATATCAATTTAGACATTAAACACATACAAAAATGTCTTCATTAAATAATAATTTCGACATCAAATATATAGCTTAAATACGTCCGTGCTGCGAATGGGAGTGGTCGAATTGTCTAATGCCTGCGCTTTTAACCAAAACTTGTGTATGGTTTCTATCCTAAGCTTGTACTTAACAAGGAGTATTGGATAGCCTCCCCAACCTTGATTTGACCACCCCCCCCCCCTCCCCCCACACCATGTCCCACGCCTGCGACCCTTCCCAATTCACCAAAACCAGAGTACAGGTCTAATTATTATTGGTAATTCTGCATTGTGTAACCAAAACTTCAAAATAGAGGAATTCGTCAGGTTACATTTATGTTCAGCCGAGCGAAGCCAGGTGAAATCTCGTTTGTGATTTCAGCCCACAAGTAAAAACATCACCGGAAAAGAGCCATTTATCGATCTAAGTGACCTATTCATAGTTAATATTTTGTTCTTCTTTCAATTACAGGGAAGCCATATCATGGCTCGGTGAGTAAGACGTTGACTCTCTAACCTGGAAATTTCCAGGGTAGTTCCCCCCCCTTGTCACTGGTGTAGGACGGAGTGTCTTACAAGGGACAACGAGGTCCAGCATACACATTAGCATGCCCGTGAAATAACCTGGCACCTGGAATTCGATATGTCTGGACAAAAATTCCTTCATTTCATACTGTATTGCATATGTCCGTTTTCATTACCCTATTTGGAGCAGACCTGTAGGACGTTAAACCCTATTTCATTTTATTTCGTGTGGACGAGGCCCAATGCCCATCCTTCAAAAATACGTGTGGATATGGCCCGAGAACCATCCTTCAAAACAAGAACTTACAGTAGATTCAGTTATCTTTTTGGGTTTTTCTGCAACTAGCCACAAAAGAGCTTCGGTACAAGGTGGCGACGTCAGACCCCCTTCATAGTAATAATACCGTGGTACACGTAGTGGCAACAAGGAACGTGGGTTGAATTTAATACCAGTCACATGTACCCCTGTAAATGGAAAAGTTAATTATGTATATTTTGGTTGGTAGAATTATAAAACCAATTTAAAGTAGTTTACACGGCACCTACACACCCACACTCTTTCACCAACGTCTGTAAAAGGTGTTTTCTCTCTCCCCGTCTTGACGGGGGTGGATGGACGAATGGTTAACACATGCGTATTGCGTTATAAGGTTGTCATTGAGTCAAGTGGCGTGGTTTCGATTCCCCCTCTTGTACGTGGCAAGGAGTAGGGTCGCCTGTCTAAACTCGTGGTTTTTCTCCATGTCCTCCTCTCGCGGCTAAGGCGAACTATTGAAATAAAATTGAACCATATGTTGGTCCCGAAATTACTTAGTTTGTCTCGAGTGGGCGTTAAATCTCTGATATAAAACTCACCACATCCGGGTCCTGATTCCAAAAGAGCACAATTGTCACTTTGACGATTACTGTTTACTCTTAAACACTCTTCCTTTTCATCCCCTATTCCCAACAACTCCAGATTAGCTAATCTCCTGTTCTCTAGAGCACACACATTATCTACAATACACGAACATATAATTGCTACATCAACAGTTGTTATGAGGGACAGTTGTTGTTGGCATTTCCGCCAACACAAATGTGTTCAGGGAAACGGGATTTTTTTTTGTACCATATGATGTCTTGGCAGGAAAATCCCGAGGAACTTTCGTAGTCAAAGCGGTGACCTCCTGATTAGAGGTAGGCGGAAACGCCACTGCCCAGTCAAAAAGTAGTACACTCGGATTGCACAAGTAACAATTACATACAAATTTAGATCCTGCCCATTGTTTGGACTCCTTTAAATCCTGTCTAAGAATATACTTATTTGAGAAATATTTGCAAGAGTGATTGTGGTTTTTGTAGCGCCATGAGCATTAGTATATGCGGAATTAGAGCGGTATACGGGGATCACGTGGTTAAGTGGGTAAGACGCTGGCTCACTAGCCTGGAGGTCGGGTGTTCATCCAGACCTGACAAGGACAGCTATCTAGTCGTTCAGATGGGACGGAAAACCGAGGTCCCGTTTACATATTGGCGTGCACGTAAAAGATCCCTTGGTAGTTGGAATTCGATATAAGAGTAGGCCGGGCAAAATTTCCCTCATAGCACACTGTATGGCGTGTGCCCGTCTTCATTAGCCCAGTTTACGAGCAGAACAGTAGGACGTTAAACCCCATTTCATTTCATTTCAGAGCGGTATACATGGACTTACATATTATTTGAAAACAAAATTCAATTTGTTAGTCTCAAAAAAGCCCGAAATAAAATGGTGTTGACGGAACGGTAAACAACATTCCATCTCATGTTCCTTATAGGGACTAAAGACGATTAAAGGACAATATTGGTGTCAGTTATTATCACATAGGTGATAGCACTGGTTAAATACGTTCCAAATATAATTTTAATTCAGATATCATTGCTACGATAGATGCGTTGTGAAGCTTTCAAGAAAGGGAAGTGACGAACGCAAAAGGAATGCACGAGTTATCCTTCTATATAACTAACTGAAGTGACGAGTGATAACAGATACACGGGCAAATTTCTGCTCACTAATGATTCGTTCGAAGACCAAAAGTTGTTATGTGAGGCTGTGAGGGGATATCTGATAATTCAAAAAAGTAATTGAATGTCACTAGATAAGGGAAAACGAGAAAAATAGAAATAGTCCGCACATTCACTTGTTTTTCTTCATTCTATACTTTATAATGCTCTGACTTTTTCTATTTTTCTCGTTTTCTCTTTTCTAGTGAGAGTCAATTATTTTTTTGACTTTTCAGATATCCTCCCACAGTCTCATATAACAACTTCTCGTCTTCTAAGGAATTATTAGTGAGCAGAATTTCGCCCGTGAATCTGTTTTCACTCGTCACTTCAGTTAGTTATATAGAAGGATAACTCCTGTTTTCCTTTTCCGTTTGTCACTTCCCTTTCTTGAACGCTTCATAACGCATCTATCGTAGCAATGATCTCTGTGTTAAAATTATATTTGGAACGTGTTAAACCAGTTCTATCACACATGTGATAATGACGGACACCAATATTGTCCTTTACAACAAGTACGATATATAAACCTGTATTTTAATCTGATTTGGTAATCTATTACATGAACGGGGAAACATGCACGATGTCAATGCATGTGCATCTGACATGTTGTAATATGAAGAGACTTTTCCGAATTTCAAAAATAAAATTGTTGAACATACTCCGAACATTCTATTCTGTTAGATAAAATAAAATAAAAAGTTTTAATAATTGTTGAACATACTCTAAACATTCTATTCTTTTAAATAAAATAAAATAAAAAATCTTTAGTAATTGTTGAACATACCCCAAACATAGTGAGCGCAAAAATATAAATGATGATCAGGGCTAGATCTATTTGTTAAGGCCACACACAATTTTCGTCAAGGTCGCTGAGATGTAAATAGGCTTAGGGCACGTGATTGTTGGCGAGATTGTAGGTTAAGGTCAGGGTAAGCGTTAGGCCCGGGCTAGGTCAATATTTTTATTTCACGTACAACAAGATTATTTACAACACTGATGTAATGGTTAGAAAACAAGCCGAAGCTTATATAAATTCCTCTCCGTGTCAATTACTAAATACAGGGTTATGGTTGGGGTTGGGGTTGAAGTTGGGATTAGTGCTAGCCCTGTTTACATCTCGTGACCTTTGACCAAACTTAAAGTTGGCCTTATCAATTAGATCTAAGCTGATGATCAGCAGTTTTAAGTACTATGTTAAAATATAAAAGCTTGTAAACTGACCAAAATCTGCAGCTGTATAGCGTCTAACCTCATCAAAGTGTCTGAAGATGGTGTTGAAGGCGCGACTCTTTTCTCCTTTGTGCTGAAAACAGAGATAGCGGGGGCGATAGAGAGAGAGAAATGAAATATGTTTTTAAACATACATTATGTATGAACTAAATCTACCTATTGCAGATCTTTCTTTAGGCCTGTAATGATTTCTAAATTATTAATTAGACATTAATTAACTTATCCAGACCATAATCAACTGTCGATGTCAACGCTAGCTTTCTAACTTTTCTCGATTAGGATCCGATTTGCTGCTCAACATTTTTGCTGCTCAACTTTCATTCATGATTTAATCATGAAATGGATAATCGAGACTATGTTTTTTTTTATCGTATCGACTTTAGAAATGATGATCGAGGCTAGGCCGAAAATTCAATCGCTAAAATCTCGGTTCAGAGTGGATCCATTTGATTGGAATTTTCAGCAAATTCCCTTTACATTATCTAGTTCTTAACTATTATAGTGAGAACTGCCAACTCTTTATCTAATCTCCCATAATGTATCTTTAACATCCTACTGTTCTCCAATGCATACCCCATACAGTGTACTATGAGGGCAATTGTGCCCGATCAGCGGCACTGTGGCCTACTCTTATATCGAATTACAATTGTCAAAGGTTCTTTTACATGCACGCCAATGTGTACACGGTATGTCGAACGACTATACGTTGTCCCTTGAGAGATGTGTCTTAACGTACACCCCACACACAACCTAGGTCACTTCTGTACTAACGTGTACATTGGTTTTCGCCGGGTTATCCTATTCATAAACAATTATCAAATATAACTGAACAATAACTTTAACTAAAGAATTTGAGAAGTGTTTATTCCGCTTCCGTTTTCAAAATTAATAGCACAAACTACATATACATAGCAAGAAATAAACAATAATATCAAATCATTAGTCTATAGAAATTTTCAAAAGATAAGCTGACTGCATACCAGAATATGTCCGCCATCATACTATCTTAGACGCTTAGAAAATATCTTAGAAAAAAGGCTTAATTTAAAAAGGCCTCCTTGATTTGGGTAAAGAAATAAAACTGTTGATATCATTTGATTTTGTGGGATGATTTTGTGCTTACATAATTGTGCTTAAAGATGCATTATGTAAGAGCTAAATCTGCCTATTTGCATATATTTCTATAGGCATTAAAATATCATATAACTAGACATTTATTAACTTTCCAAGACCATAATCAAGTCTCGGTGCCATCGGATGCTCGAGATTTTCAACGGATTTAAAAACAATTGGCAGTTAATGATTTAATTAAAAAATGGATAATCGAGACTTTCTTAATTAACGTAACAACGGTAGCAATGACAACCAACAAGACTCCGCTATTCTCCAAACACGCCTAATGTCGCTTAGAATGAAGTAATATGAATGAAACATTCCTCTTCATGATTTAGTTTTTAACTATTATAACAATTTAGCTAAATTGTACATAATGCAACTTTAATAATTTGTATAGAGTTTCTCAGTCACTAATCAGAACAACCCGTTTCCATAATTTCATTTTGACCAAAGGATTTAGTTGCTAGGTATATTTAGTAGACAGATTCTGATATCACCCTTAAAGTGGTTTGTCACGTCCCGCTGTAGCCACCAACCAAGACAAAGATTGAGAACTTATATTACCGTAAACATGATGGAGATAACCAGAAGGCCATCTGGATGAGCAGTGGCTTCTTCTAAGTCTTCATAGTCTTGTCTGTGGTGTACAACATGAGCCTGTAATAATAATAATAATAAGAATAAGAATAAGGATGGGGAGGTGGAGGAAGAGGATAGGAAAGAGAATAAGGTGAGGGCGAGGATGGATAAAGAGGATGAGGGTGAGGGTTGGCGCGAAAATAAGGGTGAAGATGAGGGTCATAAGTATGATGAGGGTCATAAGGACGGTGAGGATGAGGATGAACATGAGGGTCATAAGCTGGATGATGAGGAGAGGTGTGAGGGTGAGGATGAGAAAGGTGACAAGATAAAGATGAGGGTAATGAGAATGATGAAGATGATGGTGAGGAGGATGAGGATAGTGATGAGGATGGGGATGGAGATGGGGATCAGGAAAGTGTAGGGATACGGATACAGGTGATAAGAATAAGGAAGATGACGGTGAGGAAGACCAGGATGAGAATGATGGTGATGAATGAGAACGATGATAGTGATAAGGAAGATGAGGATGACGAGGATAGTGATAAGGAAGATGATGATGAGAAGATAATGGTGAGAAGGATGAGGAAGATGAAGATGATAGTGATGGTGATGATGACGAGAGGACGATGATTGTGATGAAGAAGGTGACAATGATGGTGATGAGAAAGTTGATGATCATGAGGATGAGATTGAGGAAGATGATGGTAAGGATAATAAAAATGAGGATAAGAATGATAGGGATGATGAAATAAACTAATCTTGATTCCGGTAAGGACGGTGAGGATGAGGATGAAGATGAAGGTCATAAGCTGGATGATGAGGAGAGGTGTGAGGGTGAGGATGAGAAAGGTGATGAGATAAAGATGAGGGTAATAGGAATGAGGAAGCTAATGGTGAGGAGGATGGGGATAGTGATGAGGATGGGGATGGAGATCAGGAAGGTGTAGGGGTACGGATACAGGTGATAAGAATGAGGAAGATGACGGTGAGGAAGACCAGGATGAGAATGATGGTGATGAATGAGGATAACGAGGATGGTGATAAGGAAGATGATGATGAGAAGATGATGGTGAGAAGGATGAGGAAGATGATAGTGATGGGATGATGACGAGAGGACGATGATTGTGATGAAGAAGGTGATAATGAGGGTGATGAAAAGGTTGATGATCATGAGGATGAGATTGAGGAAGATGATGGTAAGGATAATAAGAATGAGGATAAGGATGATTAGGGATGATGAAATAAACTAATCTTGATTCATAGTAAACAGAATGCAAACGAAAATTGAATTGAAAAGCATAGGAATTGATTCCGAATGCTATTTGTTACGATAAACATCATATCATCCCATATTTTACTTCTTAACTCTTTGGATGAATTGGAAATTCGACCAACACCGATGAAAAAAGAAACCACTGGATACCTACCTCAGCAGAAAAAGATTTACCATGAATCAGATGTTCCGTTTGTCGTTTTTCGCCCTTTTTACCAATATGAAAATGTACACTGTCCAGAACATAGCCCAAGCCGTCTCGAGATGGGGCTCCAGTGAGTACTGGTTTTTCTCCAGTCACAACATACTTGTAATAGACGCCTGAAATCGACAAACATGAAAAGAAAAAGAATGCGGTTTAACGTCCCAATTTTCAATGCCAAGCGAAGTAATGAAGACGGACATAGCCATGCAATGTGCAAGGAGGGGCATTTGCCGGCGCTATGGCCTATTTACTACTGGACTACCTTAGGTTCTACAATCCCGATGGCTCGGTTTTCATCTCAGACAAACGACTAGATAATGTTTCATGCTCGCAGGGTCGTAACTAGCTCAGTGCAACGAGGGGGCGGGAAATGTTCTCATGGGTGCTGTAAAATAGTGCGATGAAAGATCTGTCAAGTTCATGGGTTTGATTTCACTGCATTTCTGACAAACGGAATGCACGAGGAATTTCTCGTCCAACACAGGGATAGAAACAAGCACCCTCTGATTACTGATCTAGCGCCGTACTCACTCGACAGTGCAGCCAAAACAGTAAACCCCCGTAGTAGCCACAATATATAAGTTGTATACAAAATTCAATATCTTGTTACTATTACTGAGACCCGTTGGTCGTTAATGGAGATTTAACGCCCGTTTTCGCCGATGGTGAAATTGTAGACAAATGTTTCCTATGAAACTAACCAGAAGAGTCAATCTAGCGTATGATAGGTATGGGAGAAGTCATGTAGTTCCCATCCCCTTATTATCTGTTCAGCAGAAGATGAATTTGAGATGTATTATAGTCCAATGCGAGTAAACCTTTTTCATTTGCTGATTACACTATTTTGCCGATACCGTTTTTAGGACTTCGAATTTTGTCTAATGGTTTGGATTGTTCGTACTTGGTTTATTTTATTTCGGTTATTAAAAATAAACATTGTTGAACATAAATGTATTGTATTGTAGTGTATTGTATAGTCTTGTGTTAATGCCCGTGCACCGGTTGGGGTGAGGGAGGGGGTAAAATGTACTTGCTCCGGAACATAAAACTTCTCTCTGCTCCTGGGACAGGTAGGCCTACTATGGCGACAAGCGGGTGTTGACTGCTCTGCGTTGTCTCTCTAGAAACATTATAATAAGGATGTGCGATGGCTTGCAGTAGGACGACAGTCACTAACATTTAACCCAAATTAATATGATTTCCAATCACCTGGAGGCTGAGGGTGGGTTAAATATTCCAATACAATTTGCAATGTGATAATCAAGACCGTATACGATTATCCAGATGTATGATTATAGGGACAATATTTTATATATCCCCGCATTCGATGCCTAATACTGACATATTTAAAATTCATCAGATCTTTGTATTTAGAACGATAAAACGTTCAGAATATTATTGTATATGTAGTTTCATACATGACGACCAGGGGTGTTGGGGTGGACTGGGGTCGGGATAGTATGACTGAACACGTGACCATAGAGCAACTAACCCCATGTTAGTCTCAAAATAATTGAAGTATTGTGTATGGATTTAATTTGTTACTGGTATAACTTGCTTTTTATACGTACCGGTGTTTTCAAGGTAACCTTCGACGTCATCAGTGTTATAAGTCAGTTTATCTTGCCTTTTCTCTGTTCTTTTAGCGCCATGTACATTAATTGGTGACTGGAAATTTCCAGATCGGTCGCAGCAGCTGTTTAAAGGAAATTGGTTGTCAATGGGTCCATCGACTATTATTGAACTGTCAAGTCCTGCCCAACATTGAGGTCCTAGATACAGAGAATAATAAAGAAGTGTTACTTTTAAAGGACATAATACTAAATACAGATAGAGATAGATGGGGGTTTATTGTCCACTCAACACAAACTATCTCATTCCGAGAATAACCCATGGTTCAATTGTAATTCAAACAGAGCCTTTAGTTGTGTTAGGAAACCAATGGACCGGAGAAAACCCAAGCATAGATCGCTAAAATTTCAATTGAACATAAATTTGTAAATTTGTAAATGTTAAACGGAAATGAACCATTTTAAATCGATATTTCTATGAAATATTCATCTTTCACATCATTATAATTTGCAAGGGATTCTATTGCTTTTTAAATGATACAGAAAGACTTTAGAGTTCCAAAAAATTATAGCTATTGTCCTTTCAACATGTTAAGTCGTCTTTTATCATACGGGCGTTGGGTGTCCAATGGTTAACGCTTGTTCGTTGATCATTAGGTCTGTCATTTATAGCCTGTCCAACCTTTTGGGCTTTCTCCGCGTCCTTCGGTTTCCTACCACTGCTAAAGACCCCTACGCCTAAGCGAATTATTGAAATATAATTGAACCAGGTGTTAGTCCTGAAATGACCTCTCTCTCTCTCTCTCTCTCTCTCTCTCTCTCTCTCGCTCTCTCTCTCTCATTTATATCTCATTTATATATACCAATATGTATTGTACATTTGTAGAGCGAATCATAACATTTTGGTTGTGTAATACGCCTTCTTGAAATAAAATAAACACATCAGTAAACAAGGAAATTCTGAATGGGTGAGATACGCAAAATGGCCCATCATTATATTACAAATGACTTAATTGATAATTAAAAAACAAACAAATTATATTGCAAATCACTTGGGTGAAAATTAAAACTGACTTGGGTGAAAATTAAAAAAAAATTGACTTGGGTGAAAATTAAGAAAAAAAAAAAAAAAACAAAAAAAAAACTAGGCCTATATTAAAATTGACTTGGGTGGAAATTAAAATTGACTTGGGTGAAAATTAGAAGAAAAAAAAGTATATTAAAACTGACTTGGGTGGAAATTAAAATTGACCTGGGTGAAAATTCTAAAAAACAAATTATATTACAAATGACTTGGGTGGAAAGTAAAATTGACTTGGGTGAAAAAAAACAAATTATATTAAATTTGACTTGGATGAATATTATAAAAAAAAATTATATTACAAATGACTTGGGTGGAAATTAAAATTGACTTGCGTGAAAATTATAAAAAAAAATCCCAAATTATATTAAAATTGACTTGGGTGAATATTAGAAAAAATAAATGATACTATTTTTCATGTCCCTTATCAGCCACCGTATTATGTAGATTACATTCATTTCTTAAAATGAACACTTTCCATAATAAATAAACAGATTTATTCTCAAATTCATTACAAATATACTATCACAAGATTAAATCGAAAAGAATTTTTTTTAATGAAATGAAATGGTGTTTTACAGCAAATTTTAAATTTAGTATCAAATACTTGTCATCAGACTGTGTCAGCGCATCATACAACCTATCACAATACATAGACCATTTCCTATTATCCCTAGCATGTAAACACGCTTCCTACCTTAAAGACACCAACGACGTTTTTCACAAAATCAAAAATCAAACAGTTAAGAGTCCCTGAGCACATCATTTTATTATCCATCGACGTACAGAGCATGTACACGAACATCGATAATAACAAAGGTATTGAAGCAGTTTGGAAAGTATTTCTTAGGAACCCACAAGCATCCAGGCCGGACGAAGAATCCTTAAATTACTCGATATTTGTCTGAGGAGGAATGACGTCACATTCAACGACCAAGTATACCTCCTGTCTCCAGGAACTGCGATGGGAAAGCGATTAGCCCCGAGTTATGCCAATCTCTTCATGGCGGAGTGGGAAAGGGAAGACTTATCTGACATCATAAAATCTCAGATTCTCCGTTTCCATATAATATGTACTCAGAAGTTCGACCTTGAGTCGGCATGCACGCTTGTATTTAGCAAACTCAGAGAAAGGGGATATTCCAAACACTATATCTAGCTGAACTTGCCGCCAAAAAAACAAACCAAACAATATGCAATCAGCAGTTAAAACAGAACCTTGTGACCATCCCAGACGTCAAACATGCAAAATTATAAACATATCCGACCAGTTCAATAACAAAATATCTGGCACGCAATTCCCAATATTAGACCAACTTTCATGCAGCAGTTCAAACATAATTTATCTAATTTCATGTAGACAATGTGACAAACGATATGTAGGGGAGACCGGTCGCCGGTCAGACATAGTCACCAGAAAAGACAAACCGGTCTCAATTCACTTCAACCAACCAAATCATGACATTTCTGATCTCATTGTCTCGCCAATAGAAAAGACGAAGAGCGACTTTGAAACTCAGAAGAAATTAAAACGTTTAGGCTAACTAGGGAACAATTCTGGACTGACAAATTGAAAACAACAGCCCCGTAGGTTTGAATATTCATAAGACTAGCGCAATAGCCTCTTTTGTAATCCCGTTTAGCGCAACAGCAGCAAGTGCGTCCAAAATCATCAAAAACATCTATATTGACCTCCAGGAAAATCACCCGAAAATCTTCACACAGAAACATATTATTGCATATTCTAAAAATAAAAATCTGAACGACAACTTAGTGTACAGTAAATTAGATTAAATAAGACCAGTCGTCACCTTAACCCAAAACAAACCATACATCAAACCCTAGCCCTAACCGTTAGTAAATAAAATCAACTAGATATAAGAATTCCTAGCCCTAACCCGATGATAGTGGAACAAACACATTTTTAGAAAATCCAAGTCTTAGTAAGAAACACACTAATGTAGCTCTTACCCGAGAGCCTCAAATTTATTCTCTTTTCTTAAGAAACAAAAATACCAGAATATCACAAGCACCACCCAAGGAAGACCATCAGCGCCACCAACACCAAAAAAAACCTCAGTGAAATCACCCTCGTATATAAATCTAATGTATTGTATGTATTTCTTTTTTTATAAAACTGGGAAATATCACGAACTAAATTTTTTATCATCCTAGATCAGTGCTTATGTGGAGACTTAACCCCTCCCCCAAATTCTTAAATCTAACCCTAGCTGACATAACCTGTCATTCAATCTATAATCATGAACTCTGGCAGCCAACATCCCCCATATAGCATCAATGAAGCATCCACGACCCAATCATCGATAGAAATAATCAAAATACTTACTAAGACCAGAATCTCGATTGTACCGGAAACAGGTTTTACCTTCATCTGGACATAAAAGCCTGTCACCTACAAGAGGACTTCCAACACTTTCTGGCTCCTCTTGGGCATACTGGGCATACTGGGCATCTTGCTGATCCAACATTCCATCTATGCTTTCTGTATTGGCATCAGCATCTTGGTCGGAGCCTTTAGTAGTGTAATAATATTGACCATTACCTTCAACATTTTGGTCGTGGCGTCCACTACTGTACCTAACTTCACCCATGCGTTCTGCAGCGTAATTAGAGGGTTCATAATTAGCATACCTTGATGGCTGGGCACGTTCAGAAATAGGTACTTCTTGGCCTTGCTTACCATTTCTAGCCGATGCAACAAGAGCTAAGCAAAGCACCACTAAGCTTATTCCCCGTAACACACGCATGCTGCTGTTTTTCAAATATGTTGGCGACCTACTCTGGTAGCTACAGATAAGTCGACAAAACAAGGGTGACAGTGCCTTATTTATGCAAGATGCTACCTATCAATCACAGTTGTACATAAGGCAAAAAATATTTGATAAATGGGTGAAGTCTGAATTAATCAATCAGTTATATAATGTTTATATATGAACATGTTTTGCAACTAAATACTTTGAGGTTATCTTTTTTTAGCCCCCCCCCCCCAAAAAAAAAGAAAAGAAAAGTGACTGAAGCCTGAATTAAAGATACATTATGGGAGATTAGATATAGATCTGGCAGTTCTCACTATAATCGTTAAAAATTAGATAATGTAAAGGGAATTTGCTGAAAATTTCAATCAAATTGATCCACTCTGAACCGAGATTTTAGCGATTGAATTTTCGGCCTAGCCTCGATCATCATTACTATAGTCGGTACGGTAAAAAAAAACCCAACATCGTCTCGATTATCCATTTCATTATTAAATCATGAATGGAAGTCGAACAGCAAATCGGGACCTAATCCAATAAAGGTCGCAGGCTTGCGATGACATCGAGAGTTGATTATGGGCTGCATAAGTAATTAATGTCTAATTAATAATTTAGATAACATTTCAGACCTAAAGAAAGACCTGCAATTTGCAGATTTAGATCTTGCATAATGTATGTTTAATCAGTTATGTACGGTTTATATATGCACATTTTTTTTGCAAGTAAGAAGTATTTTGAATGTATGGTGTTGTAGTAATATTTTATTGCTAGTATGATCTTTGGAGCGTTCAAAACGTCAAATATTACATCCTGATGTCATAGATCGATCGATAGCTATTTAGTTTAGTTTTTTTTTCTAGATTTATTGCCATTTCGTGCTGTTGTAATTATTGTATGGAAGACTAAACAGCTCTTTATTCAGTGTTCTAAATTATTAGTTTTTAATATTTATTTGTTCATTTATTGCCATTTCGTGCTGTTTTTTTCTCGATTTATTGCCATATGTTGATGTTTTACCGTGAAAAGATGGACTTCTTCTATCCACTATTTAAGACAATAAACATTTTAAACTTGGTACACGAATCGCGTGCCAGAATCCTTTCGGGTGACATTTGTAATAAGCGACTCGATGAACGAGGCTAAACATATCCTACAAGGGAAGACTACCGGAGTACACTGGAATAACCAAACGCCAAAGACTGCCATTCAATATGCACTCTTCGTGTATTCCGTCCATCATAACTGATCAGAAATTACAGTAAAAACAGAAACGATTGAACGTAAATCCGTTCATAATATAAATATTAATATTACATTATTATATGTGCTGCGATATGGCACTTTGGGCATAAATATTTTTAATCCATTAATTTTATTAATAGCTGAACAAACCTTAGAAAACGTGCATTTTTTTACCTTTTCGAAACACTTTTAGGGGGTTAAAATTTAGCTGGCTTCCCTTATAAATGAGTAGTGCAAGACAGAAGTCAATTTGCGAATTTCGTTTTCCTACAGTTTGGATCATAAGGCTGAACCATAACTATTTTCAAGGGCATATATTAGTCATAATTTATATAAGAGAAAAAAAAATCCATAATTCATTTTAAATTTTTGACATTTACGGGAAATAGGCAATTTTGTGAGAATCACTTATCAAGTTTGTATGCCCATAAAAGAATAAATGGTTGTATTTTTACGAACATATATACACCAAAAGATAGTTTCTAACTTGAGTCATTGCCCACAATACATTTTTCGATAGTTTAATTGCTTAATAGACATACAAACCGCCATTAAATCCAATCAGTCCAAAATTTCCAGTATTACTGTTATTCCTTAATAAAATAGACCTTTAGATTTAGCCACAGAGGATTTGTGTCTGATGTTGTAATAGAAAAAAAGAAAAACAAACGAATGTTAGGAAAATATAGTCCATTGAATAATGGAATATATATATATTTCAAGATAAAAAAAATACACGATATGTCAAGGAATGTATGTGTCAAGCAATTATATACAGGAGTTATTTAAGAAACATAATACAATGAATTATAACCGAATTAAAAGATTGCTTGTGCGGAGCTCTACAAAACCGGATAGCAAATTAAGGACGGTTAAAAACTGTTTACCAAAATTAAATAAATTTGACCTGACAAGTCAGAGACCATTCACAATCTACACGGTAATGGCTAGTATGTAAGTGAATTTCTTTTAAAGATGCATTATGTAAGAGCTACATTTGCCTTTTGTATGTCTTTCTTTAGGCCCCAAATGTTATTGAAATTATTAGAGATTTATTCATATGACCAGTACATAATCAGCTCTCTAGAGCATCGGATGGTCGCGATTTTTAATGGACTGAAACACGATCACCATTTAATAATTAAATTTAAAAATGGATAATCGGGACTTTGTTTATTGTCGTAAAAATGGTAGCCATGGAAATCGAGACGGCGCCTTTCTTATCAAAACTTCCAGCATTTATAACTTCGCTCATATATTCCTTTTTCATTATCTATTTTAAACTATTTTATTTAAACTCTCAGCTCTTTTTCAAAATCTTATATAAAGCTTTTTTAATTCGATAGCAGACACGTGTTGTGTTATTGATTTATTAACTGTTTAAATAATATTATATAATAGTATTTTTATTTTTGTTGAAGGTTTCATTAGGTATTACGCTACATAGAAAATTAGTTGATCACCATGCCATTAGTAGCTCAAATTAAAATTTCCAATAGTTCTCAAGGCAAATTTTAAGTCGCCGAATAATGGAAACCGCCAGAACCAATGGATATTGTGGGCCGAGTTATTTTTCAGTATGTCCTGCAGCCTCCTTCCAAAATTCCATCACGTATCAGCACAATACAGCAGGTTACAATTTGTATGTAACTTATATCGACATCAAAATGTTATAACCCTTGGGCGGAGGGCAATTAAATATTCAAGTCAGTGGGACAAACAACCGTGGTCTGGGATCCAGTAAATAACTCATTCAAAACGGTTATATTCTACTGGACCGAAACAACCACCTACACGTCCATGTAGGACGAAACGACTTAAGGCCAACCCAGCACCCCTTGTCCGCTTGGGCTCTTTAAGATAACCATGCCAAACATGGCTGTTTTCAGTACCAAGGTGTAAACAAACCACGCTTTTCATTGGAGAAAAGCTATATAGCTTGATCTGAAATTGGAGAAAAGCTATATAGCTTGATCTGAACTTAGTTCTCACAAGACAGAAAGCAATGGGATGACCATTCAAAGTATTTCACAAAAATTTAGCCATTTTAATTAAAAGTTAAAGACACGGCCAGCAATGTTCGAGTCGTAGTATCACCTGGAACAGAGAGTAATTTTGATAATACCTAAGCAAAGCATAGTCTGCTATCATAGTCTGCTACATATAATATTCGTCTGGGCGATGGAGACAACGCGATCCGATGTTTTAGAGACTTGATTATGGGACTATCGTGTGAAGAAATGTCTAAAAAATAATAGTTTATATAACATTTGCATTTGTGGCGTGCAGGGAAAAGTGTGTGAGCGTGGGGTGGGGGTGGTCGTGGGCATAGCACATCCAATCAATGAGTGAATATATTTTTTTTAGAAATTGGAAATTGTTGCTGTTAACTTCGTAGTGCAAGTTGTCCTGTTTTATTTGAATAAATTTCATCTATTTTTACCTATTTTGAATATCTCACATTGAGTCATGTGGGCCTACATAAAAGTGGTTTACATCAGGCATCACTAAACCAATTCACGCCACTGGATTGAATTTCGTTGACGTAGCCTTCTTGATGTGGTGCTTGTACCCTTTCTTTATTGGGATTTATATTTTTGCCTGAATATTTTTTGCCTCGGTGAGTACGACACAGGCTCGCTAATCATGAGGTCTCGGGTTCGCTCCCGGTATTGGCCGAAAAAGTCCTTCGGAATTTTCCGTTGCGGGTGGGACTGGCAAGGACAATATCTAGTCGATCGGGTGATAGGAAATAACGAGGTCCCGTCTAAACCAGAGGCGTAGCCGTGAAATATATATTGTGGGGGGGGGGGGGGTCCGCAAATGAAATTATATAAAATGTTGACAATCTATGTCGCCGGAGGCACGAGGCTGCGCAGCCTCAATCTTCTGTACACACTGTTTTGGCATATTTTACGGGGTTAAACTAAAACATCACACCACCATGTTGGGATATGTACAGGTTTTATACAGATTGAATCTTAACTAATCCTAATAATTGTTGTAAATAAATAGGAGATAGGGCCTACTATGTATTTTTTTTTTTTTTTTTTTGGGGGGGGGGGGGCAAGTTTATTCAGACCCCCCCCCCCCCCCCCCCCCCGAAAAACAATTGGGGGGGGGGGGGTCGCCCCCTCCCCCATGTGTGACGCCCATGGTCTTAACATTAGCTAGCAAGAAATATAACCATTGTCAGTTGGAATTCGAAATAAGAGTAGGCCATAGCGCCGCTGTCGGGTCAACATTCCCCCCATAGCACAATGTATAGATCGATCGTTATTAGCTGAGCTTTGCTAAAAAGTAGAAAGATAAACCCCATTTCATAGTATATTTTGTATTAATTTCTAATGAAATTTAAAATTGGTATTATTTATTTATTATTTTAAGCTTAAAATGTATAATTCTAAACTTGAATGTATAATTCTAAACTTAAATGTACAATTCTAAATTTATTTAAAATTTAAAACTAAAACTTAAAATTTAGAATTTAAAACTTAAAATTTAGAATTTAAAACTTAAAATATAGATTTTAAAACTTAAAATTTAGAATTTATAACTTAAAACTTAAAACTTAAAATTTAGAATTTAAAACCTAAAATTTAAAACTTAAAATTTAAAACCTAAAATTTAAAACCTTAATTTAAAACCTAAAATTTAAAACTTAAATTTAAAACTTAAAATGTAAAACTTGTGAGCTGCTCCAAAACCAGGCTC